TTTTAAATCCTTTAAGAGTAATAAACCAATCAACTCAAAACGTATCCATTCTACCCCAAAATTTTTCTAATAATCATTCGTTTTTACCATTCCTTTATCCACCCTCTTTTTTCAAAAATTTCGTGCACCTAAACTGCTATAGAATGCTATCATCGATCCCCGAGAGCAATGATGAAGCTTGCAAGACAGGAAAGACTCACTTCACGTCCTTGATGGAAGACGAAGAGGATACGCGTCCCAAAGTTCTCTTGCTTCGAAAATTCACGAGACAAAAAATGAACTCATTATATAGGCAACGCCGCCTACTGGTAAGACGAAAACCGAAAATCCGTCGACAAGCGAAAATCCTCGGGAAACAGTTGAAACTTGGTGAAGATACTTCTGAAAAACAAAAATATCAGGCCCAAATAATCGCCGGAAAAATCAAGTCTATTAGCAAAGCCATTGCCACTCAACAAGAACTAGGATTCGATCGGCAAAAATATTTGCATCAAAAGGAAATTTTGAGACAAACCTTTGCACAAATGGATACTAGGACGCCCGAGGAGATCAAGGAGAAATCAAAAGAGTGGGAAAAAAATGTCGATAGAAGTACTCCGTTGAGATTGATCAGATCATTTTTGGCTTCAACAAAGGGCAAAATGAACGGCAGAAAGGTTCAAGAGGTTTTCGGGGAGTTATTATACAACACAAATGATTTCACGGATGCATCATTATATGATTTGCAACGCCTTGCAAAGTATTTTTCCAAAACACATCCACCACACGCTGTCTCGGTTTTGGAGGCGGCCTTAGATCACGGATTCAAGCTTACCTACGATGATTACCATTTGTTGTTAGTGTTACTTAGAAAGATCAAAGACCGACTGGGTATAGTGAAGATTTTTGAGGAGATGAAGAAAAAAGGGTTTTGCCTTCAAGCTGCTGATTACAGCGAACTCTTAAGATGCTTGATGGGTAAAGGTGGGAAATGTATTGAATTAGCGAAAAAATATTTGGTCGAGGCGAAATCACAATACTTTATATTAGATCGAAATGCTTACGCGGCATTAATCGATGGATTTATAGAGAGGAACGATATATCATATGCAGGAAACATATTTGTAGATTTCGTGAAGGAAGGATTGGCCCCACCATGTATTATTCTTCCCAAGGGGCTTAAAGACAATAACGACTCCATTAAAAATGTACCAGACCATGGTAACAAGGACATTAATGTCACGATCAATAATAAAATAAGTAAATATGACATTAGTAATGATAAAATCGAACATTTGGAAGTCATTAAAATGCCATCGTGGCAAAGAGCATTGTTGGGTGAGATTTACGCTATACTCTTTCAAACATTCATTCATGAAAACGATCTTGATAAGGCAAAAAAGTTCTACGGAAAATTGATTTCCATTAATCCATCACCAGACCTAGAATTGGTTCAAATGATGATGGAAGCATGTTTGAATGGAAACGAAGTGATGACCGCAAAATTTTTGCTGAAACGCACTAGCACACCAAATATTGGTCGAGCTTATGGTCAGGTGCTTGAATATTGCGCGAAATGGAAACGGTTTAAACATCTTTGGGTGGTTTACTCGCAATCTCTGGACCAGGAAATAATATTATCCGAGAAAACGTATAGGCACATGATTTTGGCGTATTGTCAAGAAGGATATTCAACCGACGCGTTAAGTCTCTACAGGAAGTCCAAGCTCCTGGGCTACTTTCGGAAGGATCTTTATCTCCACAACCTTTTAGCCCGAATCCTGATGAGTAACGAACAGATCGATCAGGCGCAGAATGTTTTACTGGACATCCAGCAACTGGGGTTAAAACCCGACATTGACACTTACAGAGTTATGCTACTTTTCGCTGAAATGCAGAAGAACTCAAAAAATGCGATTCAAGTGTTTCAGGAAATGCGACGGCAAAAGATGGCGGTTGATCACGTGACACTTCTATATTTGATAAGGTGCCTGTGCGCGGCTGGGGATTTCGAGAGCTCGGAAATGGTTATTGAATTGATGCAAAGAAATAATATGAGTCTGAATATTAATTATTATAATATACTTATGAGAGCCTACGGAGGCGGGTATGATAGAAGAGTTAAATCTGACGGCGATCACATCGGTTCGCCTTGTGATAACGATGTGGGAAGGAATTCAAGAAATTCAACAAACCGCTCGGCAATTGAAAAAGTATTGGGCGTATTTGATGTTATTCGAAATTCAAATCTGATTCCAAATGATGAAACATATCACATTTTGATCGAGGCGTTTGCAAAAGCTGGCAACATTGAGATGGCCAAAAAAATTTACAAATCAATGAATGAGGTGGCGATTCGACCAAGTCTCGAAGTATTTCACATCATTTTAAGAAATATGATTGAGACGCAGGGTATAGAGAATGGAGCCGAGATGTTCTGGGATCAGGTGAACGCAGATATTTTCAAGTCGAGGTCAATGAAATACGTTATACCAAACTATTACACGTGGAATATGATGACAGGATACGCATTAAAACATGGGAATGTTAATGTGCTAACGAGCTTATATGATGGAATGTGGGAACGAGGGATGAAAATGAGCGATGTCGAGATGTATGGTGAAATTATAAATTTATTGGTCGAAAAAAAAGAATTTGAGAAGGCCGAGGAAATATTGGATCACTTGAAAATTGGAAAGATCGGATATGGAGAGGTAAATAAAGGGTATAGTATATTAATTAATGGATATTGGAAGTCTAACAATTTAGATAGGATGGATTATTTATGGAAAAGCTTGGAGAAATGGAATAACCTAAGAGGTGACACAACCAAAAATGAGAGAATACTAATTAATAAAAAGGCTTGCGAGCATATGGTCAAGTGTTTTATTAAAAAGAAAGATAAGGAGGGTGTGAAGAAAGTCTGCGAGATGATGAAAGAGAACGGTATGAAGGTGGATTATGAAATTTTGAACCGGCTACACTGGTAATTTGTGCAATAATAAAATGGATGGTGGTTGGTTTTACTCGACTTTTATTTTGCCTATCATTTAAATTTGAAGGTTATATTTTCAAGATTATTTCGACTCAATAATAATGACCGTATGTAAATCGTTTAATAAAGCAGGTTCATATTCGGACATGGCTATTATTGGACATGCAGTATACGTATCTTCTTTTTTCTTTCTTTCTTTTTAGTAAATAATTAATTGAATCCCCCCAAAAAAAAGTTTCTACTTTTGATCGAAATCCTATCATGTAAGAGCGTTCACGAAATTATTGGCCAATGTTGGAAATGGCAAAATTTTCTTAATTTTGATATAAAAAATGCATGCGCACGTAATTTTTACTGCGTGTCGTTAAGTGGCCAGAACTATATGGAAATATCGTGATAGGCTTTTGCTGATTAAATTGAAATTGTTCAAAATATGTGATACGCTATTCCCTTCAACTTCCTTTATTAAAGGTGATTGTGTCCTATTAACGTTATGTTATCTTTCTCTTATGATCGATTTCCACGTGTTTGCACATTGTTCTTGATAAGATATTTGTATATTAATAAACTAATAAAAATGTTAAATTTCATTATAGATTTCAAAAACTCTTTTCATTGATCCTCAGATCACACAAAAAAAAATATTCACACAAAGCTTTTTCACTTATTTGCTAATAAAGTATTGAGACTTTCCTTAAAACAATTTGAAGTATGATTTCAAAAATAATCTCTACCCCTCACCTCTTGTTTAGCTGTATTGTAACAGTAAATGAACCAGTTATAAATAATTTTTATTAATTTATAAATGATTTTAATATATTTAAGTATGTCTTAAGTCCATATAGTTTTACAGTATTATATATCTTGCTCATGTTTCAAAAACATAAAGCAGAACTTGTATTTTCTTTAATATTCTCTAAAATTTGATTAATAATTATAATTGATTTATAAGTATTGTATTTTAAAAGAATATCCAGTTGTATTCAAATAAGATTTAATAATTGAAAAATACTATAACTAATTTTGTTATTATGAATTTTATAAAGATTTTTTAATAAAATTGAATATAATAATGAATTAATATTATACGACTAGTTTTGATCTTGAGAATTAAATAAGTTGTTTTTATTTTATTTAAAAAAAAAATAAATAAATCTTGTTATCAAAATTGTATTAAAAAAGTATATTATATATTTTATTGGAATTTTATTTACTGTAAATATTTAAAAATTATAGATAAATGTTACAATTATTTAGGACTGATTTATTATTAGTAATAAAAATAGTATTTTTTATTTCTTTTAAGATAAACAAATTTATGATGGTATTTTACTATTTTTTCTTAATATTGATCTTAAATTTTATTTTTATTTTCAAATTGTATTTTTAATCTTAAAAATATATTTTTTTCTAATCTAATTTTTAAAATAGTTTATTATTTTCTTTTTAATTTTATTTAGCTTAATTATAAGTAACATTTCTATAAATTTTTTTTTTTTATTAAAGTGCAACAGGCCTACTTTATTAATTTTAGTGTAATACATATTACTTGAATTAAAGCTGACCAAAACTGTTAACTCTTTTTCTTTATATTATTTCTACACTAACCTATTAAAAAACTAATTGACTTTTGGAAATGTCCCTTATAGCTTGTTGCTCCTAGATAGGAACTAATGTGCCTAGGCTCCATTAGTACTAATGTGAAGAATGTAAAAAATATTATGTATTCCTTTCAGGATATTGCCTATTGTATCCTGTGTGTCTGCTTGCTGTGGCCCATTTGTTGTTGTTCTTTTGTTGTTGAATGTTCTCTGTTGTTTTCTTTTCTCTTTTCTTTTAATAGATATCTTGTTTATTCCATGTTCTTTTTTCCATTATAGTATTTTTCTGCATCTGTCGAGCCAGATGTTGAAGGTGAGGAATTTAGTATATTGCATGATGCTTTTCAGGGTGTCAACTAGTTTATCGCATCCAACTGTTTCTATGATTAGGTCATTTAGGGTTTTGTTAATTCCTTTTCTGAAGATTAGCGTGTTTAAGTTCCTAGTGCTGAGCTCAACCTTACTAATTATTATTTGGGGAGATTTTTCATTTTTTCTATAGTGCAGTTCTCTATAGATATTTTTGTTTATCTCCTCATAGATGTTGATGTTGTGATGGGAGCAGGTGAATAGATGATCATTGTATTCTGTCTTGTTACAACTGTGGCACCTACTTATTTTGTATATTTCGGGATATTTTTTGTGGAGTTTGAACATTATTAGGAGCTCTTAATTCCATAGTTTGATGGAGAAACTATGCTGTTGAAAGTCCCACTTGTTTGTTTGTGAGTCAATAAGTTTTGTTGGATGAAGAAGTGCGAAACTGGTTTTCCAGTCTACTTCTTTATAGTTGGCTTGGAAGGTAGACATATTTCTGTTGAGATATTTTCAGTCGATTATGAGATGTGCTTGATGAATCTGCTGAATTGCCCTTCAGATATTTTGAGTAATCTCTATATTGTTGTTAAAGAAGGGTTGTAGATAGTTGGGTTCTAGACATGAGTAAAGAGTTGTGTTGCAATTTCTTTTGTCTTTGTTTGATGCTGCCTGGTATACCAGTTCATCAGCTCTTTTATAAAGTGGCCATATTTTTTATTAATTATATGCTCATGCCTACTTAAGTGTAAGCAGTATATATTATGGATCTGTTTGCTTATATATCATACATGATAAACTAGTGTGTTATATATATCAACAAGTATTGTACATATAATGTTTATCATAAATCTATCTATATATGAGTAGCTATATATATATCCTATATAATACTATATACTAATACTACCTATTTGAAAAAATATGTGAATCTGTCTTAATTTTTCCCAGAACAATTTTTTCTTAAGAGTATTCTAGTTATCAAGTCATCGATTACAATATCCTGACCCTGGTTCATTTGGTTCTTTGGAGTGGTCCGCGACTTTGTTGCTTCCCACCAGGACCTTTCGATAATAAAGTCTATGAAACCTAGCACAGCCATACACTTCGTTTTTTAGAAGTACACTACCAGTTTGGAGTCTACTCTTCTCATTACCATTGAATAATACAGTCGAATCAGGAATGATCTTACTCGATCTCAGATATTCGACCAATCACAATCTTCATATAGACCAGTCGCTATCTTTAGAAATATAGATTAATTTACAGTTAGACCAACAGACGCAAATCCTACCTGCTTTTGTGCAGAGGAATCACATTAGTCCCTTGGAGGATTTGAACCTGCATCTTGTGATCTGACCTATGAAGTGCTAACCACTACACTATGGATCCGTAGATCATATTTCTATAAATTTATCTTTAATAAATTTATTATTATAATATATTTCTTAAATTATCTATATATTATTTTCTTTTATTCTTTATTATATTAAAATTGTTATATCAATTAATTCTAAAATTATATGGATACTTTTAGGCTCTAATTAGTAAAGAATTAAAATTTTTTTCTTATTTATTCTATTAATTTTTTTAAGAATATATTGTCTTAATATATTTTATATTTTGTTAAAAATCCAATTTTTATTAAAATATATGGTCTTTTTAAATTTATAAATTTATTAACTTCAGTTACAAATTATAAATATCTAATATTGTTATACTATATATTTATTAAAATTTATGTTATTAAGATCTGTTTATTATATTTTAATAAGTAAGATTTAAAGTTTATAATTAATTTTAATAAATATATTATTATTTTTTTTTTTTTTTAACCCGCAATCATACCGCAATGGCATGTCTTTATTAAGATATTGAGAAATGCCTAAATATTTTACAGACTTTTACAAAATAACTAACTCATCATTGTACATTATTAGTTAAAGGACTACACTACTTAAAAAATATGAGGAGTCCACTAAGCTAGATTGAACTAAACAAAATTAAGTCTAAATTATGTACTCTAAGTTAAATTTAGGGAACAATATTTTACTCTCCTAGTAGCTTGGAAATAGTCTACCAGGGTCATTGCCAACAGTTTGTCACTGTAGATTATCCCGAAAAATGATGAATTGCTAAAGTTGGCACTG